GAATTGAAATATTTCATTTTACTGAAAGTTCTGAACTTGGTAGTGAATTTGTATTGTTATAGAGTCAGCTTTTTTAACAATAGAGTCTAAAGTTCCTTGGGACTTTGAAAGTCCGTCATATATTAAGGAACAATGTGAGTTCTTAATGATTTTAACTTTTTTATTTAAGATTATGCGAAATATATAAAATGGAGTGCCGCCCTACAGTAATTTAGAGACTGCAAATTCGATGGCTATATTAGAAAAGTTAAGAATTTGGAAAACTACGAACCCGATACAGGCTTAAGGGTGATCCATGGTAGAAATTCATAGGAAAGGTAGGACTATATAAAATTCAAGACTACGTCAATTTATTACTCAATTTCATATGTATGCTTATCCAACTTATTTTGTCTGTTATTTTTTTTGTCATATCCATGTGGCTAAGAATTGAAGGCAAGATGAGAGAAAATCGGTTACGGTGGTTTGGACATGTGCAACGAAGGCCTACTGACGCTCCGATTAGAAGATGCGACTATGGGACAGAGGTTCAGGGCCGAAGGGGTAGAGGAAGACCTAGGAAAACTTTGGAAGAGACTCTAAGAAAAGACTTAGAGTACTTGGATCTAACGAAGGACATGACACAGGACCGAGCACAATGGCGTTCTAAGATTCATATAGCCGATCCCACTCAGTGACTTGGATTTTTCAAGTCTCCAATCGAGAAGTTTTCCTCACTCGGGAAATTAAGGGAACACTACCCCAACCTACATGTTCCACTCAGAAAGCTTCAACATACAAGCTTCAACAAAAGAAAATTCAAAGAACTTAGCGAAGAAGGTTTTGGTGTATTTAACACAATACGTTGAAATGAAGGAAAACTTATTTATTGATATCCCCGATAAGCTACAAATGTGTACATATACATGAGTCAAAATAAACAAACAAGAGGGAGCCTTCACAAGGGTTGCTTAGGAGAAGTCTCAGCAGTCGGTAGAGCCCCAGAAAGAGAAGGCACCGGAGGGGGATCATTCGGAACCTCAGTACTGGACAGAACCCTAGAAGGAGGAGGCATCAGAGGTTGATTATTTGGAGCTTCATTACGCGGTACAGCCCCAGAAGACGAAGGCAATAAATGCCTTTGGAACAAACCCACAAATCTCTGATGATCAAGTAAAACCTGACCATCAGTTTCCTTCATCTGGTCAAGCTTCCTCTTCATGTTTGTAGCATAGTCATGTGCGAGCCGGTGCAACTGTTTATTCTCATGCTTGAGCCCTCTAATCTCCTGTTTGAGACTCATCACCTCAGCCGCCAATGATTCAACTTGGCGGGTTCGAGCAAATAGGCGTTGGGCCATATTAGACACAGAACCTGCACACTGAACACTGAGAGCCAGCGAATCCTTAACAGCTAACTCATCAGACCGTTTGGAAAGTAGTCTGTTATCTTTGGGAGTGAGAAGGTTCCTGGCCACCACCGCAGCAGTCATATCATTCTTCATCACGGAATCCCCAACGGTAAGAGGACCAGTAGGGGAGACGAAGGATGGGCGCCATATGTTGTCTGGAGAAGGCGGGGCTGCCTCTTCAACAAGGTTCAAGTCAAAACGACGGTCGGAGGGACCAGACATTTTCAAAGGTGTTGAAGAGAGAAGAGGTTGGACAAATCAAGATCTTAGAAGTGCAAGAATGGAGCTTCTACTGGTGGAGATTCAAGTGTGCTTTGGAACTTAATGCCAGCCCCTATAAAAATCTGCACTCGACGGATCTTCAGAAATCGAAGAGGCGTCTGCTCAGAAATCGAAGAGGCGTTTGCTTTCTCAAAAGCTGGGCTGCTTAGAGACCACGAGGGTTGATCTCAGAAATCGAAGAGGCGTTTGCTTTCTCAAAAGTTAGGCTGCTCAAAGACCACGAAGGCCGATCTCAGAAATCGAAGAGGCGCTCGCTTTCTCAAAAGCTGAGCTCCTCAGAGACCACGAGGGCCGATCTCAGAAATCGAAGAGGCACCTACTTTTCCAGCCTTGTCAGCACCTGTCACACGCACACTCAGCTTTGCGGAAATTATGGGCATTCTGTCGAAGACTTCTGAGGAAGTAGAAAACACATGAATCTTACTGTTCAATCACCCACTTCCCACACGCAACAATAGCTCATGGGTACCACAGATAACTTTGCCAAAGTTCTCTGCCAAAATTGAGCACGTAAAGTTTGCAGCTCCCACTACATCGCTCTGACCAAGAAAGGTAAAAGAATAGCAAAGAAACAGCACTAACAAAGTTTAGACCCATAAATTTTGAAGGTCTAGCTACCATATTATTACCCACAAGGGTAAAGGAACAGTACCACTGCTGGATAATTGGAAAGTCCCTGTGTGTCAACCTCTGTGCTTCGTGGCAAGGTAGACTAGCAAACATGCCCAACCTTTACTCACACTCGAGAAAACACTACCAATAAGATTACTTGCTCCAAAATCGAAGAGGCACCGTCCTCCGAATCTCGAGAGCCAGACTCCCAACATGACTACTTTCTCAAAAATCGAAGAGAGGGTAAAGGAACAGTACCATTGCTGGATAATTGGAAAATCCCTGTGTGTCAACCTCTGTGCTTCGTGGCAAGGTAGACTAGCAAACATGCCCAACCTTTACTCACATTCGAGAAAACACTCCCAACAAGATTGCTTGCTCCAAAATCGAAGAGGCACCGCCCTCCGAATCTCGAGAGCCAGACTCCCAACATGATTACTTTCTCAAAAATCGAAGTGACACTGCTCCCCGAATCTCGAGAGCCAGACCCCCATCATGATTGCTTTCTTAAAAATCGAAGATGCATCGTTCTCCGAATCAATCGAAGAGACGCTCGCTTTCTCAAAAGCTGGGCTGCTCAGAGACCACGAGGGCCGATCTCAGAAATCGAAGAGGCACCTACTTTTCTAGCCTTGTCAGCACCTGTCACACGCACACTCAGCTTTGCGGAAATTATGGGCATTCTGTCGAAGACTTCTCGAGAGCACAGACCACTTTTTCAAAGTGCTCTGACAGAGTTAAAACATGTGAAGCTGGCAGCTCCCACTACCGTGCTATGACCAAGCAGGGTAAAGGAATAGCATTACTACTTGTTGTTAGGGAGACTCCTATATATGTCGACCTCCATCCCCAACGGACAGGCAGACCTGCAAAAATGTTCAACCCTTCCTCATATTTGAGAAGGCACTCCCAACGAAGCCTTTCGAAATATTTAGCTTTCTTTCCCCCTGATAATACCTTTGCAAACAAGCTATACTAGAGCAAGAATATCTCATATCATTAGGGTTAAAAGCAAGAGTATCCCATATCATGCTTTTTCCCTGTCTTTTCCTTTGGCCTTGTTGTTACCTGCAAGACAAGGAGAAAGAGAGCAATCAGTCAGCACTTGGAATCAAGCTTCCAGCCAGGAACTGACTGCCTGGAACCCCTTACCTGATTACTTACCTGGCATTGCTCTCGAGTACTCATCTTCAACATCTTATGTTTCCAGGGAAGATACCGCATCTGCTTGAGGAACAGATAGGGCAAGTGCGAAGGATACAAGGAAGCATGTGGAGACAAGCGTAACAGCACACGTGCCGATACATCCATTACTCTGTCAAAAGCAAAAGTATCCCATATCAGCAGGGTCGAACGTACTCTAGATTTGATGGACTTGTTTTGACCCTCAAATTCTTCAGTCGGCTCTGGAGGAAACCAGAAAACCCTCCAGCTCAGTTCAAGAATAAGCCTGTGGAAAGTTACTTCTTCAAAAGCAAAAGTATCCCATATCATCTCTTCTCATCTTTCTTCTCTTTATCCTTCATGCTGCTGCAAGATGGGGAGAAGGTGAACAATCAGCCGGAGCTCTGATTGCTTACCTTGTCTGTCACCTCTTTCAGCAGATCCCCTAGCTCGGCGACTTGGGAGACTGCTACTACATGGTTTTGTATCGCGCTTGACCAAGCCTGAAACTACAAGTAAGCTTCAAGTGAAATTGATACATTACCTTGTGCATCTCCACCAGTTAAAGATACCACCCCTGGATGGAGGAAGAGTACTTCCAGAGAAGATGCCACATCTACCTATGAGACAGATAAGGCAAGTCAAGACGATACCACACTCCGATACTTAGAAGTTTCGTGATTACGAGATCATTCTCTCACAATATTTCCTAATGTCATTTGTACTAAATCATTCACTTGTACTCACTAAAGGAGAGCTTGAACCTATGTACTTGTGTAAACCCTTCACAATTAATGAGAACTCTTCTATTCCGTGGACGTAGCCAATCTGGGTGAACCACGTACATCTTGTGTTTGCTTTCCTATCTCTATTCATTTATATACTTATCCACACTAATGACCGGAGCAATCTAGCGAAGATCACAAAAAGCGACCGTTTTTGCTGCCTAGGATCTATCTTGCAAGAGAACGGAGAATTAGATGGAGATCTCAACCATAGAATACGACCTGGACGGATGAAGTGTAAGAGTGCATCCGGCGTGTTATGTGACCGTCGTAGGCCACTGAAGCTCAAGGGAAAATTTTATAGGACGACAATAAGGCCAACGATGTTGTATGGCACAGAATGTTGGACGGTGAAGCATCAACACGTACACAAAATGGGTGTAGCGGAGATGAGGATGCTTCGTGGGATGTGTGGGCACACGAGAAAGGATAAGATTGGGCATGAGGATATCCGAGGTAAAGTAGGAGTAGCCGAAATTGAAGGAAAGATGAGAGAAAATCGGTTCCGGTGATTTGGACATGGGCAAAGAAGGCCGACTGACGCTCCGGTTCGAAGATGTGACTACGGGACAGAGGTTCAGGGCCGAAGGGGTAGAGAAAGACCTAGGAAAACTTTAGAAGAGACTCTAAGAAAAGACTTAGAGTACTTGGATCGAACGGAGGACATGACACAAAACCGAGCGCAATGGCGTTCTAGGATTCATATAGCCGACCCCACTTAGTGGGAAAAGGCTTTGTTGTTGTTGTTGTTGTTGTTGTTGTATCCATGTGGCTAAGGATTCTGAGGTTAGTATTAGGGATTGCATTTGCATCGATATGGCTAAGGATTCTCTTTCATGTGGAGCTTATGGTATTCAAAGTTTTCAATGTGTAGATGAAGAACTAGCTTGTGAGAATGGACCTTATTGGATGCCAAATACAGACAACTAATTTTCGTATATTTTGTTAATCTCCTCTCTCATTGCATGATAAAAACTCTCTTGGTTTGGAAATAAATATTTTAGTCACTTTAACACTTGCTTAATTGACAAAAGTATATATGTTTCAAGAAATACAAATGAACATGCATCTCTCTTACAGAAAACATATTTTTCACTCATTCATAAGAAATATTAATTGCACGTATATATGCGCAGGTGAATATGCATCCTAAGTATATAAGCTCATAGTATTACAGATCAATATTTGTTACAGATAATAATACTAAAAAGGAGGAGATAAATGCGGCTTGTTTGGTCATTCAACATGGATTTGGCAGTCTGTAGAGTGCAGATCAAAATGAATTTGGCCTAGTAGCAAGAACAAGGCCCATATAATATTTTGATCTGCACCTAATTTTTTCTACAGATGATGCCAAATTCATGTTGAATGACCAAACAAGCAGCATGTGTCTCCTCCTATTTAATATTACTATCTTCAACAAATACCGAACCGTAATACTTATCCGCATATATGGATGGGCTTATATACTCAATTTATATATTTACCTGTGCAATTAATATTTCTTATGGAGAACTGAAGAAACATGCTTATGTTAAGATATGTTTATACATGTTAATTTGTATTTCTTGAAACGTATATATTTTGTCAATTAAGTAAGTGCACAAGCGACTAAAATGTTTATTTTCAAACCAAAAGAGAGATTCTATCATGTAATGAGAGGAGATTAAAAAAATGTATGAAAGTTTGTTGTTGTTCTTGGTGTCCAAAAAGGTTCCTTCTCAACAACTGCTTTCCTTGAAAGGCATAGGCTTTTGGACAACAAAGATTTGAAAGAAACTAGTTCCTCATCTCCACATTGAAAACATAGAATAACATAAGCTCCACATGAAAGAAATCTCCCTAGTACTAACCTCCACAACTTGGAAGAAAAAAATATATTAAGTAGCGCATAAATATGACAAAATAATAACAGACAGAAGAAGTTGGATAAGCATACATATAAAATTAACGTAATCTTGAATTTATATGATCTTATGTTTCCTATGAAATTCATGAATAACCTTAAGCATGTATTGGGTTTTTAGTTTTTCCAAATCCACTTTTCTAACATAGCCTTCGAATTTGCAGTCTGCTAGGGCCGCACTCCATTTTACATATTTTGCATAACCCTAAATAAAAAAGTTAAAACCATTAACAACACATATTGTTTCTTAAGCTATGTTTGGAAGAGGACTTTCAAAGTCTCAAGGAACTTTGGACTCTATTGTTAAAAAAACAATACTAGTGAACCACTCGTGCAGTACAAAGGGACTTTATAACAATACAAAGACACTAAGCCAAAAGACTTTCAACCTTAAAACGTGTCATTTGAAAGTTATCTCAAATGTGTACGTAACATATCATTTCAAAGTCCCTCCTAATTTTTGTAGTGCATTCCAAACGAATTTTAGCCTAGGAATCTAACTTCAATTATTCTACAATCTTTAGAGCTCACCAAAGATTGAAAGCATGCGATAAAACTACACTACAACTGGCCGTAATGCGAAGAAGTTTAACATATTAAGGTCAGTAAATCTGAAAATGTGATGAATTTGGAGCGTTGGTATTTCTTATGGCAGCAAATTCTAAAACCAGCATCAACGCTACCATGGTGTCCACGTTTAATCATCTCCCCTCAGAATCCAGTAGCTTAACTGTGGCAAAAAACTCTTTATTTGGTATTTGCTCACGCAAATAAATTGTCTGCCTCCATCAACTAGGGACTGTAATATATGCCTGGCTGCATAATTGAACAAGTCCATTTGCATCATGAAGATAATCGTCGTTGAGAGGCCTCAAGCAATTGTAAGAGATGTCCTCTTCGTCACCATAATCTATGAACAACACTTTAAACTTGTCTTCAGCTCCTTCAAATCAATTCAAAATCTGTACAATCTTTACATATCAAATCCTTTATCGGTGTAATTTCGTAGTAGAAGGCAAACGTAAACTTCAAGAATTTTAAACATCAACTTTTCTTTGAATCAAAAAGCTGATGTTTGTGGTTGTGACTCACACTCTTCTTTGCTTGGCGCAAAGAACCATTTCCACCATACAGAACAAGGGCAATGTCACCTGACATGCGATTGCAAGTAGCAAGCTCGTGAGCTAGCGGATTCAAGTTACCAAGCTTTTCCTAGTGTAAGGTTGTTCACTGTATATGGTTATCCTTTTCTGCTCATAGGACTAGCATTTGACAGATTTGGGAGATGTCACTGCTCCTTAAAACCAAGGGCGAGGGCTCTTGATACTCTCTCCTTAAATTTGTGTAAAGAAAAGAAATTTACGGATCTTAATAGATTTGTGCATAACTGACGTTAACGTGTTGTAACATCTACAGTTATTATGATACATTCCTGACAAGCTACCAAGAGCTTGCAAGGGCACACAATTGGAAGCAACCGCTCCTTGGTATGCATAATTTTTGTTTCTCCCTTTAGTTATAGCGTACATGCCTCGGGTCTAAGTCAGTGTAGTCAGTTTTCTAGGTACTGGTGTTCCTGTTGGGTTTTTATTTAAGATGGCTGGTGTTATTGCAGTTGCACATTCCTATCCTACACAGATATTGGATGAAGGAGTTACACCGATCACTCCACATGACGTACTGGTGGACGCGCTTGTGTCCCCAGCAGGTGTGATTCCCATCATCCCAGCCGCTTTGGACAGGCATACCAAGTAAATCTTCCATTGTGAGTTTTATTCTTCACTTTCTTCGGGTGCAAATTGAGATTGTTTAACATTTTACAGAATGAAGCTTTGATGACAATACTTGAAGTCTTCCAAGATGAGATCCTCGTGGAGTTGAACCCTGGCTTCCCCTTGATCTGTTAAAAGGAAATGATCGGAGACTGTCTGAGATATAGGGCTTGATGTTGTCAAATGAATGGCTGCCCCTTGAGAGGTAACCGCTGATTGTATCAGGGACATCAAAGTTTTGTTTTTAGCGCTGTTCTAAAAATCCTTACCTAATGGCGCCTAGGCACTAGGCGGCTGATCACCGCTCCGATTAATGCCTAGGCATTTGAAAATTAAGAAAGGACGCCTAGACCTACCTAGACACATGCCTAAGTTACAACTCATTTAGATAGAAAATAAATAACTTCCCTTTTGCATTTTATTGCTTCCAATAAATTATAAGAGACTTATTGAACACTTAAAGAAACACACATTATATGTTTGCTACTCATATTTTCATTATATTCCAATACTTCATAATATATATGTCATTCTATTTTCTAGTTTATAATGAAATTATATATATTTTAAGTATAAACAGACACTTATTTACACGAAATACAATAGATTTACTTAAATCCGTCCGGTCCACCTAGGTGCTAGGCCACAGCCTGCCGCCCGTCTAGCGCCTAGCGTCTTTTAAAACCTTGGTTTTGAGGATGAGGATGTCATTTTACTCTGTTGTGCTAGGATAGCACCAAACCCGTTGGAACCAACTCAAGCTAACCCACAGGAAATTTATCAAATGAAAATGCAAGAACAAAATATTAAAGACATCAAGATTTTAACGAGGTTCCTCAACAGTCAGTGTAACTGGAGTACGTCCTCGGAGCAGTAGAAGCTCACCCAAGAATCCACTATTAACCAAATGGGAGTTTACAAAGTGTTGGCAATCTCACAACCCAAATAACCCAATACACCCAATAGCTCTCACACACCACAGATACAAATAGAGAAAGAAATATAATGAATAATTTCTTCTCTATACATATAGCTCAAAGCTATTACAACAACAACTACTTTGGTGGATGATTACTAACCAATTGAAGAGGAGCACTTTCTTCTTCCCTTCAAAGAGGAGATGCAGCACCCTTTATTTTCTGATGCTCTCTATCTCCCTCTCTTCAAACCGAAATGAGCTGCTTCTCTTTCTCACAATTACTCCCAAAGGCAACCAACCTCACAATTATGAAGAACCAAAGTCACGGGTGGTAAAAGAGAAAAGCAACCCTTTTTTTCTTCCCCAAAACAAGGAAGTGGTTGTCCACCTTTTTTTCTTTATAATTTTTATAGCCAAAAGTTGGCCACTTGGCCACATACTCCAACAAACTCCACCTTGGCCAAGTTTCGAAAAACGCCATGATAAGCCAACCAACACAATTAACACACAACATCACTCCCAAACACTAGCAAGAGAACAACTCATGCCGAGCCAAATGCTCCAAAAAACTCCTACTGCTCAACGCCTTCTTTATATAGGCAAAATGTGAGCCAAGTTTAAACAATGAACAAACTTGGCGACACCAACAACCTTAGTCAACAGATCAGCAGGGTTGTCTTTAGTTGGAATCTTCTGGAGAATGATTTCCCCTTCACCAACAATTTCACGAACAAAGTGATAACGTACATCTATGTGCTTGGTCCTCGCATGATGAACCTGATACTTAGCCAAATAAATGGCACTTTGACTATCACAATGTACCTCCACCTGCTTCTAATCAACCCCCAAATCTTTAATCAGCCCATGTATCCAAATGACCTCCTTTATAGCTTCAGCAACTGCCATATATTCAGCCTCTGTAGTATACAAGGCAACAGACGACTGCAAAATGGATCTCCATCAAACTGGTCCTTTAGCCATAGTAAACACATAGCCTGTAGTAGACTTCATTCCATCCAGATCACCTGCATAATCTGAATCAATATAACCAACTGCAAAATGACCAATACCAGAGTCATCATTCTCAAAGCATAAACCAACATCTCGAGTACCATGGAGATATCTCAATATCCACTTAGCTACTTGCCAATTCTCTTTACCTAGATTATGCATATATCGACTCACCATGCCAACTGCATGAGCAATATCTGGTCTAGAGCATACCATTGCATACATCAAACTACCAACCAAATTTGCATATGGTATATTTTTCATTTGCAGCTTCTCTTTATCAGTTTTAGGACACTGTCGAGAACTCAATTTAAAATGAGGAGCTAAAGGGGTACTAACTGGTTTGGTTGAATCATGAACTCCAAACTTCCGAATCAACTTCTCAAGGTATTGTCTTTGATTCAAACTGACCAAACCCTTATCTCTATCTCTAGTGATCTCCATGCCAAGGATCTTCTTTGCTTCACCAAGATCCTTCATCTCAAACTCATTCTTCATTTGTTTCTTCAATTTCTCAATCTCTTCAACATTCTTTGAGGCAATCAACATATCATCAACATATATCAATAAATAAATGAAAGACCCATCTTGCAACTTCTTGAAGTACACACAATGATCATATTGACTTCTAGAATAATTTTGGCCTCTCATAAATTTATCAAACCTCAAATACCATTGCCTTGAAGATTGCTTCAAGCCATAAAGTGATTTCTTCAATTTGCAAAACAAATTTTCCTTCCCTTTCACTATATACCCATCCGGTTGACACATATAGATATCTTCATTCAAATCACCATGTAGGAAAGCCGTCTTCACATCGAGTTGCACAAGCTCAAGATCATATTGTGCAACAAGAGCTAACATAATACGAATTGAGGAGTGCTTCACAACCGGAGAAAAGATTTCATTGTAGTCAATGCCCTACTTTTGTGCATACCCTTTAGCAACTAATCTTGCTTTAAATCTCACATTGCTTTTCTCATCAGCATCTTCCTTCTTGGCATACACCTATTTGCAACCGATAGCTTTCTTGCCCTTAGGCAATTTAGCTAACTCCCAAGTCTTGTTCTTCAAGAGAGAATTCATCTCATCACCCATGGCATTGCACCACCTCTTCTTCTCCTCACTCTCAATGGCTTCCTCGAAATTGGATGGAATATCATCAATGATAATAGGAAGAGCAAAATCAACATAGTCACTATACCGAGCTGGCTTGGTAATTTGTCTCTTTCCTCTGTTCTTGGCAATAGACTCTTGAGGTGAAACTTGCTCTTCAACTTGAATAGAATCTTCAAGTTCAACTTCTTCAACATCCTCATGGTCTCCAACTTCTTCACTTGTAGTGGCTTCGACATCAGCGGAAATAAGATTTGAAGTACCAGAGACAACTTTCTCAAGCTCCACCTGTTGGACATCTTTCACATTATTCTCAGAGACTTTGTACATACTTTCTTCATCAAATGTCACATCTCTGCTGATTACAAGTTTTTTCATCTCTGAGCACCACAACCTGTAACCTTTGACACCACTACTAAAACCAAGAAAGATAGCCTTTTTGGCTCTGGGATCAAGTTTATTTTCAGTTACATGAAAATAAGCAGGTGAACCAAAAATACGGATATAGTCATAATCAGAAGAAGGTTTTCCAGTCCATACCTCCATTGGTGTCTTACCCTGAACAGCAGCTGAGGGTAACCGGTTGATGATGTGACATGCATAATTAACTGCCTCTGCCCAAAATGACTTGCTTAAACCCGACTGAGACAACATACATCTAACCTTTTCAAGCAAGGTTCGATTCAATCTTTCTGCAACTCCATTTTGTTGTGGAGTTCCCCGAACACTGAAATGTCTCACAATTCCTTCCTCTTTGCAAACTTTAAAGAAAGGATCGGATGTGTATTCACCACCATTATCCGATCTTAAAATCTTAATCTTTCTCCCAGTCTGGTTCTCAACCATTTTCTTCCAACTCAAGAAAATGCTCAATACCTCACTCTTGTGCTTCATAATGTAAACCCAAGACCTTCTTGAATAATCATCAACAAAGGTCACGAACCAATGTCTACCACTCAAAGATGGAGTCTTTGTAGGACCCCAAACATCCGAATGCACATAATCAAGAATGCCCTTCGTCTGATGTACAGCAGTACCAAACTTCACTCTAGTTTGCTTTCCCAAGACACAATGCTCGCAGAAATCAAGCTTACAAGTCGTGGCACCTTTTAGAATACCTTGTTTTACAAGCCCTTGTAGAGCTTTCTCACCGGCATGGCCTAATCTCATATGCCACAATCTAGTAGTATCTGAATCAGATGTGCCCATATTTTCAGAGACTACAGATGCTTCACCTGTCACAGTGCTTCCCTGCAATAAATACAAATGGCCACATCTAGGAGCTTTCATCACAACAAGTGCACCATAAGTAACTTTCAATGTCTGTCCATCTGAATGAAACCTGAAACCCTTGGATTCCAAAGTACCCAAAGAAATAAGATTTTTCTTCAAATTTGGTACATACCGAACACCTGTCAACTCTTTAACCATGCCATCATGCAACTTCAAACGAACTGTACCAATCCCTTTTGTTGTGCAAGGATTGTCATCTCCCATGAACACAACTCCACCATCAAACTCTTTCAAGCTTGAAAACCAATCCTTGTGAGGAGTCATATGATGAGTACAACCCGTATCCAACACCCACTTAGTAGCACAATCAAATGATGAGGAAGTGGTTAAAGCAAAATCAGAAAAATCTGTTTCAACCTCAGCAACATTAGCTTCAGAACTTTCTTTGCCTTTGGTCTTCAACCTAGGACAATCTTTCTTCCAATGGCCCTTATTATGACAAAATGCACATTCATCCATTTCCAAAGGTTTTCTACCTTTAGAGTTTCCTCTAGGTGGAGACTGTGATTTTTTCCTACTAGAAGATGATCTTCTCTCCGATGATCTACCTCTAACAAATAAAGCTTCAAAGGTACTATCATGATTTTTATCTCTATGCCTCATTTCATAATTCATCAAGGCATTTGACACATCTTCAAATTTTACAGTTTCTTTACCATGCATAATAGTGGTAACAAAATGCTCATAAGAGTCCGGCAATGAATTCAACAATATTAAGGCATTATCTTCATCCTTAATATCCTCATCTAAATTTAACAAGTCGGCAATCAACTTATTAAAAGCATCAAGGTGTCTAATCATTTTTGTACCTTCTTTGTACTGGAAGCGGTAGAGCTTTTTCTTCAAGTGTAGCCGGTTCTCTGCACTCTTTGTCAT